TATTGTTCCAAAAACCCCAAATATAAACCTCAACTCTTTGGCAGAGTGGGGCAGGGACAATTACCCAGTCATGTGGATAGTCTGTGGTTCGAAGCGCTTCCTGTACAGACTACCAGCTAAACGTCCTGCATCCTCCCTTTGCCTTCTAATTCCTGGAGCGGGCCTTCTTCTGGGCTCCTCTCCCCATCCGCTTATGCTGTAGTCTTCTCCAGTCTGTAAAATCTCTTTCCACTCACCCACCTGCTTTGCTGCTTCCAAATTCTTGTTGGTATGGTCTCCTCTTTCATTTTTCTTTCTTCTTGCGGGTTTTTACTCAAAATAATCCCAACACTGTCATTTTGGTGGTGTTTCACAAGGAAACACAGCAGATGTGGCTTAATATGCCATGTTTTCCGTCACCTCTCTTTTCCCGCTGTCCAAATTACAATTCTCCTACTTTCTGATCTCTACCTTTATGGACTGGGTGCAAAGTGCTTACAACTTATCATTTGCTTCAGGGCAGGAGGGGCTAAGGAGTCATAGAAAGACACACCGAGGCCTGACCTGGGTGAATGGACATAATCTATGTAACCAGGGTCCAGGGCTGTTACAGCACGTGGACAGACTCCTGGGAGAGGCATGCACCCATTTGCAGTTGTACGTGGAATGCTACATTATGGGAAGGAAAACCCTAGGAGAGGAAACCTGTATGAGAAGGTGTGTGTATGTATATACTTTTGCACACATCTGTGTGCTCGGTAGCAAAACGGTGGTCTGCCAACAGCCTCTGTTATTTGTCCTTCCCACAATCTCTTCTGTTCTTGACAGTATGACCATCTTTTGGGGACACACTCCCTCCTCTGTTTTGATGATGTAGGTTTAATGGGTGTGGCCTACCACATACACAAGGGTGGGCAGTAATCCAATCCAGGACAGTTAAGAACCCTTCCTTGGAGTTTTCTAATCGAAGGGAGGAAAAGCATAACTTCTTGAGTGCCAACGCTGTGGCTGTGCATCTGAAGCCATCGGCGGTATTGAGAAATAGGTGTTTCGCAGCAGTAGGGAATGAAGATGGCATTCTGTGAGTAACCAAGAGATGGAGAAGCCACAGATAGACATCCCGACGGCTTTTAAGTTGCTTTTGTGATCCGTGGACACTTCTGCCTTTGCTTTCTGCTTTTGCCTTTGTCTTTGTGGGTTTGTCTCTTTTTGTTTTCCTTTTTGTTTTTTTAACTATAGTAAGAACACATACCATAAGATCTACCTGGTACTAACTACGAGCACAATGCTATAGAGCAGTTCATTTACAACCTTTTCATCTTGCTTAATTGGGTTTGTGCATTTTAAGTTAAATTTTAATACACGAAGTTAAAAGAGTTAATACTAATATACCAACTGAATACACAAAGCAAAAAGTGTCATATTGGAAGTTTTTGTTACTGCCATAGTTATATGAACTGCCCACAGAATTGTAAAAGTTTAAATATTCATAAATGACGCTAAGGCTTTAGAAGACATTAGAAAATATTGGCATAATTTTCGATATTGGTCTGAATATATGTTATGATTTAAAACAGTATAACAGTGGGTGCCTGGGTGGCTCAGTTGGTTAAGCATCCAACTCTTGGTTTCGGCTCAGGTCATGATCTCATTGTTCATGGGTCTGGGCCCATGTCAGGCTTTGTGCTGGAAGTGCAGGGTCTGCTTGGGATTCTCTCTCTCCCTTTCTCTTTGCCCCGCCCCCCGGCTCGCTCACTCTCTCTCTCTCAAAATAAAAATGAATGAATAAATAAAATAATACAGTACCTTAGTCCAGAGACTAATACCACCATTCACATTCTGAACCCTGGGGAAAAAGAGGGACAGAAGCAAGCCTTGGAGGAAATCCAGTAGAAGGGGGAGACTTTAAGCCTGTTTTAAAGTTTTGAAAGTTTTTTGTTGTTTGTTTTTAAGTACATTGTTCTTGTTATTTTATTTTATTTACTTTAATTTTTTTAATGTTTATTTATTTTTGAGAGAGAGAGACAGAGCATGAGCGGGGAAGGGGCAGAGAGAGAGGGAGACACAGAATCCAAAGCAGGCTCCAGGCTCTGAGCTGTCAGCACAGAGCCCGACGCAAGGCTCAAACTCACTATCTGTGAGATCACGACCGGAGCCGAAGTTGGACGCTCAACTGACTGAGCCACCTAGGCGTCCCTCTTCTGGTTGTTTTTAAAGAAAGCAAATTTCCAGGAACTATTTAGTCTAAAGCAAAGATGAAATTTCTTTCCAATTATAGAAATTTCAATATAGGAATACTAGAAGAATATTATATAGAGCAAATCCCTACAGTGGACCCTCTCAGGAACATAATTCACAGCATCTCACGTGACAGCCAGCATCTTTGCCATTGATAAGTTTTTCTTCTTTAAAAAGTCACTCTTACATTTGTGAGCATCTTCTATTTGGACTCACATAGTATTTTTGACCCTTGGAGCTATCACTACTTTCATATGCACTGCCTCCTGAAAAGGCAGAAACTGTAGCTCTTACAGAAACTGTAGCTCTTAAATTTTTGCTGCATTTTTATTACTGTGCATGTTCTTGTCTGATTCAATGATTTATGTCGTATGCTGAGTCCTAAAGGAAACTTCTTAATTCTGGAGAGTAGCTTTATTCTCCTTGAGGATTCTCTGCCCCAGCAGAGAAAGGTTCTGTATGACTGGGATGATGTGCTGGGTTCCTAGCTTTCACCAGACTCTGGAGACACACATCTAATGACATTTGGAGGAAAAAAGAAAAACTGATGAATCCTTAAGGAAGTAAATAGAATACTAGTTGGAAATTTACATTGGTTTGGTAACTTGGGCCACAAAAAGCCAAACCTAACGGATTATGCAATTGATGCCCACGTGTTACATCATAATCTCATCCTGAATATAAATGAAATCTAAAATTCTAAGGACTAAATTGTTAGGGTGGGAGCATCTTGTTCCCATATGGCAACTACTCTTCTTCATAAATTATAGCGCTCAGTCTTCCTTTCTGGCCTGCTAAGGGCTCTGGCTGCCGTTGTTCTGCTGGTCAACGCCTACAAAGTCTGTGATAACCACCTCTAGGAAGGACCAAGTCTACTAGACTTTGCTAAAAAAAGTGTCACCTATAAGTTATTGTTTCTTCACCACCTCTTCTCTCATCAGTTTAGTTAATTTTTTTTAATGTTTGTTTATTTTTTGAGACAGACAGAGACAGAGCACTAGTGGGGGAGGGGCAGAGAGAGAGGGAGACAGAGTCCCAAGCAACTCCAGGCTCTGAGCTGTCAGCACAGAGCCCAATATGGGGCTTGAACTCAAGAACTGTGAGATCATGACCTGAGCCGAAGTCAGATGCTTAACTGACTGAGCCACCCAGGCACCCCTCATCAGTTTACTTCTTAAATAGTGAAAACAATATCTTCAATTTTCGCATAACCCCACAAGGTAGACACTATCATTGTCCCCATTTTATATATTTAAAAAAAGAAGATAAAAATCTTGTTCAAGGTCAGGTGAGAGCCAGGACTTAAAGGCAGCCAGTCAGGCTCAAGTCTATGCTGTAGTCAAGAATACCACTTAAATCTGCTCAAAAGAAGCGGTAAGGGGGGCGCCTGGGTGGCTCAGGTCACCATCTCGCAGTTTGTGAGTTCGAGCCCCGAGTCAGACTCTGTGCTGATAGCTGGGAGCCTGGAGCCTGCTTCAGATTCTGTGTCTCCTAATCTCTCTGCCCCTCCCCTGCTCATGCTCTGTCTCTGTCTCTGTCTCTCTCAAAAATAAACATGAAAAAAAAAAAAAAAGAAGCGGTAGTGTCTCAACAAGGCTGTAGGCAAGGACTCTTACCTGGTCGTCTTGAGTTTCCTAGTGGACAACACATTATCAGGTCACTCTGATTTAATCCCAAAACCCTCTATTCCAGTTTACTCCATAGCTTACTTCTAAGGCTCTTTCCCAAACTTGCTTGATGATAAGAATCACCTGGAATACTTATTGTTAGAGGTGTAACTTCTCAAGATCTCAGGAGCCACTGGGTCTGATGTGGTCCCAGAAAATTGTATTTTTAATAACTGACCCACGTGATTCTTTTGAATCTTCTCAGCAGTCAAGTTTGGGAAAGAGTGCTCCAGGAGTTTTAGCCAATGAAAACAAACACAGTTGATCTTAAGTATCATATATTATATGTTAAGTCACAGTATTATTAAGCAGATGACATTTCTATAGCTGAATTAATCCAAAGCAATCAGTACATATGGCACAAAGTAGTTTTTCTTCGGGAAGAACTTGGGGAGTTGGTTGGAATGTCTTTGTTTTTTTGTTCTTTTTTGGGTGATGACTGTTAGAAAGGATTCTTTAATGGCTGTGCCCTTGAGGGAGTTTCTGCAATACTCTCATTATGGAACAGCTTAAATCAAACAGAAAGTAAGCCATTTTATAGAGTTCTTTTAAGTCCTGCCTGAGAGAATTTTGGAGAAGAGTAAATTAAATAAAGAAGAGAAAGGACTACACAGTTCTAGCTCCTTGTAGGACCCTAAAGGAGACTCTCTGTAAAACTAAGAGAAAGACCCAAGCTTTTCAACTTAAATGTTTATGAATCGTATACACATTGATTTAGGAGAATTATCAGGGATTAATTCAGTTCACACAGTCTAATCAAGAAGCAGAAGTGATCTTCAACATTTAAAGAATGCAAATGCAAAATTGTTGAAATTCATGATCATCAAAATATTATTTAATGTTAAAGAAGAGGCTTTCCAAAGTGCCAAATCTGCTTTGACACTATGTTCACTGCTTGTCACAAATGAAGAGTTTCCACCTCAGGCACCACTCACAAGCAGACTCCTTTGGTGCTACATTTACGAGTTAGTGGGGAAAAAAAGAAGAAAAAAAAAAATCACAAAATAATTTTAAAAGACAGTTAAAGGAGGAGAATTCTGCCCTGTGGAATCTCTGCTTCCCCGGCCAGGCCCGTACCCAACTCTGAGCAGTGACTGAGGCGTAGACCCTACATACCTCTTGGTGGGGGTGGGCACCCCAGAGGACAGGTGGCTCACCATGGTGTCGTTCATGTTGGCCAGAGGACGAGGAGGACTGAAAGGAAAGACATTTACATTATATTAATAATTACCAATAGGACCGGGGAAACAAATGAAAGAGTGATAGGGGCAAAGGAACCAACTATCATTGCTTCTGATAAGCACAGTAGGATTCACAGGGAGGAAGGGTGGAGATGGATAGGTGCAGCCCAAGCAAACTCAACAAGAAGGGTTCTTTCACTCAAAGCCAAAGGACCACAGAGCTGCACTGCACCAAGAGGAGCGACTGGTCACACACACACCATGACAGGGATGTAATTTCGCCGGATTTTGTTCCGTAGTTTTAGTGCACAAGAGACTGAGTTCTGCTACTTAATTAGTATCTTTGTATCTTAGGTGTTTCCAGGGTTACGAGGTGTTTGACGTTTGTGGTATATTATGAGGGTCACAATGGCAACTTGCATGTTGTTCCTGATTTGGTTAGAGTTCACTGTCTTCCCTTAGATTTGGGTGGACAGACATGATGATGAGGGCAGTGGAAAGGATTAGGTTTCCCGGGCATACCTGAATCAGGTGACAGCACAGTGCAAGCCTGAGGAGGGGAGTGAGACAAAGCAGGAACAGAAAGAAGGACAATGTGTCAAAAATGGGCCCGTGATGGAAGAAGAGATGGGCAGGAAGGCAGCACAGCAGAGTCAAGAAACTGGCAGGTGGGCACAGGGGGAGGGCAGAAAAGAATGATGGGAAAAGCCCATCAAAATAGACCAACATAAACACAGGATCAAGTTGGGAGGTGATGGGGAGACTCTGATGCCAAAAGATGCTATAGCCATAGCACACGTTTGTCATCGGCAAGAAAGGGAAGATCACAGATGAACAAGATGGATTTAGTTTGCATACTTTTTACCAAAACAGGCTGTTAAGTACTAAATTCTTTTATTAGTGCTTTACTAGAATCTTAACAATCAATCCATATTTTATACTTATCCTCTAATCAGAATGCTTTTTTTTTTTTTTTTAAGTAGGCTCCATGCAGACTGTGGATCCCAATGTGGGGCTTGAACTCACAATCCTGAGATCAAGACCTGAAACTGAGATCAAGAGTTGGACACTTAACCAACTGAGCCACCTGGGTACCCCTAGAATGCTTTTTTTTTTTTTTTATAACATAATCTAAATTTAAATTTTAAGGTAAGTACATTTGATAACTTGTCTGTAGCACTGGTTTTCTGGACTCAAGATCTAGTGCTCCTTTTTGAGAAAGTCTTAAAAGAATGAATCCAAACTTACCAAAAGGAATCTATGATTTTGCTCTTCTTCCTCCCCACCAAGCTCAGCTACACAGGGTTACTGTCTTGCATTGGAGCCACATGACTATTGCTAAATATTACTCCTGGGAAATCTCTCACTTGCTTTCCTAAGTTGAAAGAAGTACTTTTCAGAGAAATTTGTCCATCAAAGCCAAAAGTGAAGCAAAGAAGTCCTTCTTTCATATTTAGGTGCTTGGGAACTAGCTCCTGGTTTCTCCTTATATTTAAGTGCTGAGTTAATTATGTAAAGTGATTTTGTAGAGGTTATACTTAGCAAGTCTTGGTGAATATTAAGGGACCAGAGCCTTTACTGTTTTGCAGGTTTTACAATACACTCAAAAACGCAAGGGAAAATTTTCAGGTTAAGCCAAGGACTACCTACCTACCTATCTCTGTATCTATCTATACACTCCTCTTTTTTTTTTTTTTTTAACCAATTTTATTTCTGGGTAGGGAAATATTTTGTTTATTTATTTATTTTTGAGAGAGAGTGAGAGAGAGAGCAAGAGAAAGCACATGGTGGGGCAGAGACAGAGAGAGAGAGAGAGAGAGAGAGAGGGAGAGAGAGGGAGAGAGAGAATCCCAAGCAGGCTCTGTGCTCTCAGTGCAGAGCCCGATATGCGGCTTGATCCCACAAACTGAGATTATGACCTGAGTCAAAGTCAAGAGTTGGACACTCAACCGATGAGCCACCCAGGCACCCTGGGAAATATTTTTAATGGTTTTCCATTTAACAGAGAGGATTAACTTATTATTAAAGTAATTAAATTGTTAAAGTAATTTGCAGGGAACAGATTTAGGTCTCTTGACTTTTAAGCCACAGTACTATGTTTATTTATTACACATTCCTCCCTTTATGTGACAAGTTGCAAAGTAAGACATTCAGAACTGAAATATGCTTTTCTAGGCTAGAATTTAATTCCACATTATATATTTCCCCACCTATCTTCCAGGCAGATATCCAATATTGCCTCCCACACTTTCAAGCCTATTAATGCCAAGTAGCTGTGCTGAGTTATAATCAATGAATCAATCAATCAATCATTTTAGGCTAATAATAAAAATGAACAGAGATTAACTTTAGTTCTAATGGACTAAATGTCCAAATGGAACAAGGAGACAATTCCTATGAAAGAAACAAATCCAACATCACAGCTTTTCATCCTTGAGGGCACCAGAAACATTCTGGTCCTGAAAACAGAATGGGCTTTGCTCGTTTAATATATTATTATTAGTGACCCATTTCCCAAATAAGATAAGGACATGTTCATGCTTTCAGAACTAATACAGATACCTAGTATTTTTCAATATTGACGATACTACTACATTCAATTTCCTTTCTGACATTCTCAGAGGAAAAATGACAATAGAAAAAATTTAAAAAAAAATTTCTTATACATGGATCCATGTGATAAAACTTCATGATTTGTAGTATTTTGTTTGGTCTGATGCCACAAGACTTGTTAACAATCATCTCTATCTCTTGGCAGATAGCATGCTCAATTATTATCATTCTTTTAATGTTTATTTATTTTGACACAGAGAGAGAATGCAAATGGGAGGGACAGAGGGAGAGGGAGAGAGAGAATCCCAAACCGGGTTTGATCCCACAAACTGTGAGATCATGACCCAAGCCAAAATCAAGAGTCGATGCTCAACAAACAAAGGGCCCCATGCTCAATTATTATCTTTTAGCACATACATTAAAACCTCTTCTCTAAACTCAGAACCAGACAGTAATGACTACATTGTAAGTTGGAAGCTAATCTTAACTCCCCCCAAAACTTCATACCCTTTGTGAACTTCTAGCACATTTTCCCAGAGAAATAGGTACTATGTGTTCATAGTCCAAGATGAAAGAGGAATTTGAAAACATAAAGGGAGTCTTTACTTAGGATCTACCACTAGACCCACAATTCACTGTGAAAACCAACAACTCAGATGTGGTACTAGGAGATGTGATACACCAAGAATGACTTCTGGCTTAAAAAATTTTTTCATATGTCCAGTAGGACACAGCTGAAAAAATGCTTCCAGGTGTGAAGTAGACATTAACAGTACCAGTTTCAGAAACTTACAAGGCAGAATTGACACAACTCATCAGATCAGCTTTGTTGGTCTTCTTTAACATGCAAAACCGTGTTGAATACCTTGAACATGTCACCAGATGTTTTATATCTACCTTTGATGAAGATCTCAACAAGGCATCCTTAGAAACTAATGAGTTCCCTGATACCCAAATGACCACCAACCATCTCTTCGTACAAATTTGGGAGGTTCCTTCTTTGTTCATAAGACGTGCCAATTTTTTGAGGAGATAGATGGATGATACAGACAGAAGGCAATCTGCTAGGCAGAAGTAGTCGATACAAAAGAAGACATGGAGAGAATTTTTAAAATCTTAATCAAAAAGAAAGAAGCATTCTTCCTGGGTACATACTCACAAAAGATAAGTAAGGCTATCTTCATCCCAATAACCTAACTACATATTGATGAAGACAGGTATGTAAACAGATCATCATAATGCAAAGTAGTGAAAGCAGCTAAAATTGAGGAGTCCAAGAAGAGCAGTTACTCTTGGAGGAAAGGAGGGGCAATGGGAGTGAGGCTGAAGTAACACTGAGGAGTTTCTCAGATACAGAAAAAAGTTAAGGGTACCCTGGATGGATGAAATGGTATGGGAAAAGGCACAGAAGCCCAAAAGTACATGGCATATGTGGGTTTAACTTATTTGGCTGGACTCAAAGGCACTTGAAGGGGAACAGCTGAAAATGCCTCTGGAAAAGTAGATTAGGGCCAGGATGTGAATGAAGCCTGTTCTACCACAAGCTAAGAAGTTTGGAATTTATACCAATGGCATTGGGGGAAACATGGAAAGCTTTTAAGCCAAAGGATGATGTACCTACAGATGGGCTTTGAAAAGGTGACCCAAAAAGGTTGTGAATAAATCACTAACTTTAATCAAGGGTATGCATAGAAATCATCTGAGAAGCTTTGAAAATAAGACATGCAAGCTCTACCCTCAATTTAATGAACCTGAATCTTGAGGAGAAAGAGGAGTTTTTTCTTTAAAAAAGTTTTTATTTATTTATTTTATGAGAGAGAACACAAGCAATGGAGGGGCAGAGAGAGAGAGAGAATCTGAAGCAGACTCCAGGCTCTGAGCTGTCAACACAAAGCCCGACACAGGGCTTAAATCCACGAACCATGAGATCATGACCTGAGCCAAAGTCAGACATTTAACCGACTGAGCCACCCAGGCGCCCTAAGGACTTTTTTCCTAATGCATACCCCTTTTAAAAATCATTTATGGACTTTCAAGTTAAGATGGAGGGGTAGCATGGAGACCCTCAGCTTGTCTCATCCCTGAAATGCAGCTAGATCAGCACCAAACCGTTTTACACACCTAGGAAATTGATCTGAGGATTAACACAACAATCTGCATAACTTGAGCCAAAGAACTTGGCAGGTACTCAATGCGGGGAGGTGAACTGGGGGAGAGAAAAGCCGTGGAGCATAGGGAGCTGTTTTTGCAGACAGAGGACAGAGAAAGGGGGAGAGTATGGTGTATTGGGAGAGTGCAAGAAAAACACTCCCTCGAAAGTAGCTGGAGAGAGAGAGAGAGAGAGAGAGAGTAAAAACACCTGCAGGTGACTGAACAAGAAATCTGTTCCCCAAAACCACGGACAGGAAGAAAGGAGTGTTTTTCAATAGCATCAGGATTCTAAAAACAGTGGAGCACGGA